AAAACCAGCAATTTTAATAGATTTTAGATTATATCCTTTACAACAAGAAATCATATTGTAGAAATGAGCTTATGGTCTTTAGAGTATGTGGCAGGCGATGCAGAGAAATCAATGTTTTCAACCAGCGTTTCTCAAACTCAGTGACTAAGATGTGTGGACTTCCAAGTCCCAGAATTTCCAAGAAATGAAATGCCGTCTGGGGAATTCTGGGAATTCTGGAAGACGAAAGCCATACATCTTAAAGTTGTCGAGATTGAGAATCACTGCTTTAAACTATCAATATATCAAAAATAGGAAGGAAGGAAGGAAGGAAGGAAGGAAGGAAGGAAGGAAGGAAGGAAGGAAGGAGGGAGGGAGGGAAGGAAGGAAGGAAGAAAGGAAGAAAGGAAGGAGGGAGAAGTAAGAAAGTGAGAAAAGAGGAAGAAGGAAGGAAGGGAGGGAAGGAAAGAAGGAAAGAGGGAGGGAGGGAAGGAAAGAAGGAAGGAAGGAAGGAGGGAGAAAGTAAGAAAGTGAGAAAAGAGGAAGAAGGAAGGAAGGAAGGAGGGAGGGAGGGAAGGAAGGAAGGAAGGAAGGAAGGAGGGAGAAAGTAAGAAAGTGAGAAAAAAGGAAGAAGGAAGGAGGGAAGGAAGGAAGAAAGGAAGGAAGGAAGGAAGGAAGGAAGGAAGGAAGGAAGGAAGGAAGGAAAAGCAAAGGGAAGGAAGAAAATCATAAAAAAAGAATTGTCCTAATCATCAAAGAAAGCTGAATGAGAGAAAACTAATGACCATTTAAAGTCATTGTATATAAATACATTACAATAAAATACATTCCTAAGCAGACATCTTTATCAGGAACAATTAAATGCTGAAGTGCCCCAAGAATAGAAGAGTTTAAAAGGCTGGATTAGAGAAGTTTAAGATAAGATTAATAAGGAAAAATTTCAGGAGTCGTGTTTTTTTTTCCCTGCCTTTAAAAAAAAAAATCCTAATCCCCTGATTTAGTCAACTGAAGGGCATTGCTAAGAAGCCTTGGGACCAGATGGGAAATATATCTAAACTAGAAAATAAAGAGATGAATATGTATATAGTTCAGATTAAAATAATATTATTTAAAGAAAAAAGATGGACAATCTTTGGCAGCAAAGCCAGCTCTATCTGAGGATATCAGCTAATCTGGGTAATGAAACGTCCGCAAGAAAACAACCAAGCTCAGAGAGAGCACCAAGGACCCTTCATTTGAATCCTGAGCTACAAATATTCTCCTTTATTGGTACATTTATTGGGTTAGGGTTAGGGTATTAGTACCAGCTCTACCGTTATGAAGCTATTACTGTGTTTCCCCGAAAATAAGACCTGGTCTTTTTTTTTTGCCTCTAAAAGAGGTACCAAATCTTATTTTAGGGGTAGGCTTTACCTCACCTCCGACACTGACAGCTCCACCCAGCCGGTCCACTTCTTCTGGGGCCAAAGTTCTGCAACTGCATTTGGGCCTGCATTTTGCAGTCAGGCCTTTCTGGAAGGCCTCTGCAGCCAAGTACTGAGGTATGGATTCAATCCATAGCTTGGTTCTTGGCTGCAGTGGCCTTCCAGAAAGCTCTATGACTGAGAAATGGAGGCTTGGCTGGAGAAGAGGCCACAGAAGAAGAAGTGGGCCAGCAAGGAGAGGCCTGGCTGCCATGTAAGCAGGTGCGGGACGAGTGGGGCAGCTCCACCCCCCACCCCCACCCTAGCTTGATTTTTAGGTGTGTGTCTCGCCCCAAAACTAGGCCTTATTTTTGGGGTAGGGATTATATTAGGCCTACCTCCCAAAATCAAGGTAAGGCTTATTGTTGGTGTAGGCCTTACTTTCAGGGAAATACTCCATTTAAGGCAGAAGATGGGGAGGGCAGTGGCTGTTTTGCCTATTCTTTCTTATAGGTTCCTTTATGTCAGATAACAGATTTGTGGATTTGATCTCTCAATCTGATTGTTGAAGTAGAAACAATCTGAGGGTTTCATTCATCTTGCATTTACTCTGAAGGTAATCCTCAACCTACCACTATAACTGAGCCCAAACTTTCCGTTGCTAAGCAAGACAGCTGTTAAGCGAGTTTTGCCCCATTCCACAACCTTTCTTGCCACAGTTATTAAGTGATTCACTGCGGTTCTTAACTTAGTAACACTGTTGTGAAGTGAATGTAAATGAAAAAACATTTGATTGATTAAAGGTGACTTTCCGAAGAAGCCTTCGCTATATCTGGAGTCACTGCTGCTAATGATTAGGGATGAGGGAGAAAATTGTGGGTTGTTCGCACTGAATGAAAATTTATTTAATGTGAAATGTTCAAGCAATGAACATGTAGCTCTCATTTGAAATTTGCACTTTTCCAAATTCCAGCGCTGTTTGCCATTTGATGATAGTTCTATTTAGGGAACTCTATGTAAAAAAGCATATGTTCTTGACAATTATGTGTTGTGTGCAAGGAAAGTGTTGGCAAAATTATAAATATATTAGCATATATTTGGGGAAATGTGCATCCGAATGCATATAAATAGAAAATTCAAGCTTGACACTCCAGATTTGACAAATGTACAGTTATTGAGGAACTGAAGAACTGAACTTGACAGGTTCCCAACAATGAAAAAGGGGGTAAAACCAAAACTCATACATAAATTGCAAATAAGATTGCAAATAAAAAAGTGTATGTTTGGGAAATACAACCGAAAACTCTACAGAAATCATTAGCATAACTTTCCAACTCAACAAGTAAGTTTGACAAAAGTGACAAATAGCAAACCCAAAATGACGTTTCTCACCATCCAAATGACCCACATGTGAAATGTCCAGACCACATTCACACATACACATACACACACCACCACCACCACCACTACCACCACCACCATCACCAATAACAACATGATTTCACTCCCAGTTAGATCGGGATAGGAAGTACAGTAATTTTATGACATATGGATTTCAATTCCCAGAATTCCTGAGCCAGCTATGTTCAGGAAACCAGGAATTCTGGGAGTTGAAGTCCACAGATCGTAAAATTGCCGTAGTTGCCCACCGCTGAGTTAGATAAATATGTTATTCCTAGGAATTCTCCTTTATGACACAAAACCTCAGATTTTCCTTAGGCCTCGGTGGAAATGTGAATTCCTTGTGCCGATTATCTTGCTGTCAGTCCTTCTTATGTTTTCCACTCTTCAAATGCTTGCTTCTCCAAGACAGCCTGAATGTTTTTTATGCATAAACACGGCTCTCCAGCAAGGAACACTATACAAAAGGCAACGGCAAGGAAGAATTTCAAGTATGTTGTGTTTGCTGGCCAGAAAAATTCAAGCTGGACAATTTCCAAGCACCTCTGGAGCAATAAATAGAGGCATTATGAATTCTTGTTATTATAATAAGAGGATTGGAGGTGGGGAATTTCTGACCTTACAACTGATGGTCTGTCCTTCTCTTGGCAAAACGTGCTCTTCCTTGGAAGTACAACTGACTTTGCACGCTCAAAGCCCAACAAGGAAGGGTGAAAAGTTCACGGAAAGGTGCAAGTAAGAAAAAAAAAATAGAACACTTAGGTTCTTTTTAGGGAAAAACAGTGAAATCTGGGAAAATAAATGGCGCTGTATGAAATTAGACACAGCCTGGAGAAAGTGGACAAGGAGAAAAGTTTTCATCCTTTCCCCAAGCACTAGAATCAGTGAAAGTGATTAAATATAAGTGTAGAGATTACACAACCTACGCCCTATTAGATCATGAGTTCAGAAATATTTCTTTACCTAAACAGAGAAGCAGAATGACCAAGGGGGAGCGAAAAAGCAGTGGCGGCAGAAGCAACTTCCTACTTTCTGCCAGCTTCTCCATTGAGTTTCTATATGGGAATCTTGTAGAAAGTATTGGAAAACTCACTCACTCACTCACTCACTCACTCACTCCTTTCCTTCCTTCCTTCCTTCCTTCCTTCCTTCCTTCCTTCCTTCCTTCCTTCCTTCCTTCCTTCCTTCCTTCTTTCCTTCCTTTTCTACCTACCTTCCTTCCTTCCTCCCCTGTCCTCTACTGCCCTCCCCTCCCCTGCCCCCTACTGCCCTCCCTTCTCTTCCCAAGTGGCTGTTGCTGGATAGTGGAAGGAGCGAGGGATTGTGAGACTGGCTGGGAAATTGTCACAGAACATTGAAGATCCTAAGCAGCAGTCAGTAGCACCAAAACAGCTACAACTTCCCCAAATTTCATTACCTCAGGAATCATGGTTCCACATTTTGTACATATCTTGTTTTAGACCATTCAAGGTGGCTTGGTTCAAAAATGGTTGCCCTATGATGCATCATTTGGCCCAGTTAAAGGTCCCAACAAGAGTTTAGTAGTATGTAGACAAAAGGAAGCCTTTCTTCACATAATGCATCCCTAAACTGTGTCATACATTCCCACAAGATCTGGTGATGGCCACTAACTTGGATGCCTTTGAAAGGGTATTGGATGTAAAGTTATGGAGGGCTACCTAACTTGAAGGCCCAATGTTACCACTAGGTTTAAAGCTGTTTAGATTGGCTTAGGACAGTGGTTCGCAACCTTTTTTAATGCCGCGACCCCCCAACCGGTCGTAAGTCGAGGACTACTCAACCGATCGTAAGTCGAGGACTACTCAACGGGTGCAGCACCATTTGCAGAATGGGACTTTTGGCGGGCTCAGCAGGGCAGAGACAGCCTGGACAATTCCTGTTGGCTTTTGAAAGCCAATAGAATTAGACTCTATTCAAGAGACTCTATTCTATTGGCTTTCAAAAGCCAATAGAATAAAAGGGAGTAGCACAGCTAAGGAAAAGGGAAAAAAAATGGCGGACTGCGTTGTTTGGCGACCCCCATGAAATGGTTGTTCGAACCCAAATGGGGTCCCAACCCACAGGTTGAGAACCACTGGCTTAGGACAAACCTTGCTTTGATCTAGCCGGGCTGTTCTTACCTTCTTAACAGCCTGCATTTTTCTCACAAGAAGAAAATGGGGGAAGTAAATCAAAAAACACAATGAGAAACCCACAAGGTGTTAAACACGTGCTGTATTTGAACATCCTTATAAAATAAGTAGAATTACAATGCATGTTTCCCATTTCTAGCCAAGGTTTATAATTATTTACAGGTTTCTCTGTTGGCAAAGTTGTCTTTGACCTTCTGTGATAAGTTTCAAACCAGGAAGGCTTCAGGGAACAGCTCAATACATTTCTAAATGCTTAGAAATAAAATAAAATAGATTTAATGAAATAGAAAGAGAGGTATTAGAATTTTTCATTCTTACAGTACAGGTAGTCCTTGACTTACAACAGTTCAGTGACCGTGCAAAGTTATAACGGCACTGAAAAAAGTGACTCAGGGCCATTGTTCATATAATCATCGCAGCATCCCACAGACAGATGATCAAAATTCAGTCACATGGCAACTGACTCATGTTTATGACATCCTGGGATCATGTGGTCATCTTTTTGTGATCTTCTGACAAACAAAGTCAATGGGGAAGCCACAAACTGTGTTACTAGATTAACAATTGTTACTAACTTAACAACTGGGGGGTTTCACTTAACAACTGTGCCAAGAAAGGTCACAGAATGGGGCAAAACTCACTTAACAAATGCCTCATTTAGCTACATAAATTTCGGGCTCCATTTTGGTCATAAGTCAAGGGCTGCCTGTAATGAGTTTACATATGCTGGGGGGGGGGGGGGAATGAGTTTTCCAACCATCTTCTGCACAGGGTTAGGTTATATGTGGAAATTCAGCCTGGAATTTGAACAGTGCAAATTCAGTGCAAGAAAAAAAGACAGATCTGAAATATAAAAACAAACCCCGAGGACTCAGCATGCTGGCTTGTGCTTCGTTTGGGCTTTTTTTTCTTTTTTTAAAGAAGCATCATTCTGCAGTCTGTATAGATTAAATGGTACAAACTTACATTCTTTTCTTTTCTCCCTAGTTTACCTAACTAATTCTACCAAAAAGCAAGCTATTTATTCATCGTTTTCCAACCTGAAACACATCCTCCAGGAATTCTTCTTCTTTTTGAGATGGTACCCGTGTTTTCCCCAAAATAAGACCGGGTCTTATATTAATTTTTGCTCCAAAAGACGCATTTGGGCTTATTTTCCAGTTGGATCTTATATTTGGGGAAATACGGTACTAAATGCGTCTGGCTGATGATCTTAACTGGGGCTTATTTTGGGGGTAGGGTTTATATTACGAGCATCCTGAAAAATCACGCTGGGGCTTATTTTCCCATTGGCTCTTATTTTCAGGGAAACATGGTATAACCTTAGCTAGGAGAAAAATTAACCAGTGCTGTTGCATACTAACATGCATGAATTAGAGGCTGGTGAATATTTTTCACCTGCAGACTAAGCTGTCTTTTGCTGTTGCTTTTGATTTTTACACGTACATATAGATTACAGATAGTCCTCAACTTACAACTATTCATTTAGCGATGGATCAGAGTTACAACAGCACTTATGACCGGTCCTCGCCCTTCTGACCACTGCAGCATTGCAGTGGTCACATGATCCAAATTTAGGTACTTTGTCCATTGGCATGTATTTACAATGGGAGTTGCAGTGTCTCATGATCACAATGGCCATTTGTAACCTTCCCAGCCAGCTATGAACAAAGTCAATATGGGAAGCCAGATTCACTTAATGACTGGTTCACTTAAAAACTGCAGTGATTTGCTTAACAACTGTGGCAGAAAAAGACCATAGAATCGGACGCAGCTGTCTTGCTTAGCAACGGAGACTCTGATCCCAGTTGTTGTTGTAAGCTGAGGTCTACTTGTAGGGACCGAATTCTGATTTTTCTTTTCCTGTATTAATTCCCCCTACAGATCTGTGACCTCATTTGAGTCCAGTTTTGCAAGCTTTTTTTTTTTTTTGAAAGGGCTGTACGTAGTTTTAAGCTCTGAAAACAATTTTGAGAAAAGGGCTGATCCTTGAAAAGGTCAGCCCATCAGATACCGAGGAAGGAGTGGTGACTTTTACCAATCAGGGCTTTGCACCAGGCTGCCCTAATAAGGAGAAAGGTAGCCTTATAATTGACACAAGGGCCAATCAATCAACATTGCAAGCGCTACCCTTTTCCAACTCGGTGACTTTCAAGCTGTTTTGCAAATTCATTGCAAATTCAACGGAAGATTTTTTTAAAAAAAAAAACCCAACAGAACAGGATTTCCTTAAGATTAATTGGTAGCTGGGAGTGGAGGAGAACAATGAGCCACAAAAATATCACGAAAATATGTGTTTCAATACTGTACTGGACTTACTGCCAACATGACTCTTGGAGAAAGCTAATGCACCTCCAGATTGCATATTTTAATAGTCCCTTAAAAAAAGAAAGCAGAGAAAGTAATGGTATTCTGCCTTGAAATATGTATTCGGGGTTCATTCAATTTGGCCAAGGATTTGTATTTTGTTGACCATTTCTTTTAAGAGAATAGTGGCCGAAGTTCCTCTTTTCAAGCAGTTTTGGCTACCAATTTCTACCTCTCCAACCCCAGAGGGAGGGGGAACGGTGAAAAGTGTGTCATGACATCCAAAAGTAAATTAATGCCTTATATACTAATAACTGATGATACATCCAAAAGCGCAGAGCTTGCACTGTGATGTCACGATCCACCATTTGCTATTTTGGCATCACTAGATTTAAGAACAGATGCTTGCGGCTCTGTCCAGTTACCCTCCTATCAAACCTAGACAATCCTGCACTACATGAATGATATAAGAGCCAGCCAATCAGCATCCCCATTGGTGAACGAGGACCCATCCTAAACAAGGGCGTAAAGGGAGCTGCAGGGACTTTGCTTTAGCCCCAACCCTGTTACTTCAGCTATTGCTTATCCTAAGGCAAAAGGTCAAAGGTCCAGGATTTGTGCCATGGCATGGACACTGTGCTTATTGCCAAACGCTAACCAGGTTATGCTCCTGGTCAGTTCCTGCACCCTGGCATTGCTAAAAACAGAACTGTGCCCACAGAGCAGTTAGGCGTATGCTTTCCACCAACACCACCCCTCCCCTGTCCTTCCCCAGCCAGCCGCTAAGCCTCTCTGGGACATAAATTGGGTCTATCCATCTCTACACTGTTGGTAGTTCCCCGTGATCCAGAAGCAAATCTGTGCGTATTTGAGGGGTGTGATACGAACAGCGACGTTGTAATCCTGGGGGGATCCATTGGTGTCCACCCACTGGTGCCCAGAAAATATCCCTATGATTTTACGCTCCCATTTGTGATTCTGTCTCTTCCACATCCTCACGTACACGCCAGAACCGCTGGCCCCCGGCTGGGCGTCACACTGCTGATACAAGAGATCGTAGGTTTCATCTTTGACATCACAGAACCGGTAAACCAAGTTTCCAGGCCGGTCATTGTCATAGCCCGAGAAGTGAATCCTTCCTTTGGGTAGCTGACGTGCCGCTGGGCTCACTCCGATCTTCATGAACTTTCGCTTATGGGGTTTCTTGAGCTCCAGCAGGGCATAGTCGTAATCCATGCCAATGTCATTAGCGTTCCCTTTGATCCATCCTTTAGGAACATGTGTCCGTTTCACCCGAATCCACTGGAACTTCATTTTCTGGGGCTCAAGGGTGCTACTGTTGTCAATCCTTCTGATGCCATCTTTGGGCTTGGGTCTCAGGAACCCAACCCGTAACTTCTTGGCTCCCTTGACGTAACTCTTCCCATCATGGATGCAATGAGCAGCCGTCAGGACATGTTTTTCAGCCACTAACGTTCCGGTGCATCCCGTGGACAACTTCACGGAAGTAGAAAACGGGTAATTCAGCAAGAAGTCCTTGCCGAAAATGCTAAATCTGGTGTCATAGCCATAGATTTGTCTCTTTGTCCGCGATCGGCTTTGTCCCTCCGCGCTGGCCCTGCTAACAATGTAGATGCCGACTTCGGTTTCTGTGCGGGACCCGTTGGAGTACAATGTCTCGTAGGACAAATAATCTTTCGCTTCTTCATACGTTGGGAGTGGAGAGCGTTTGTGGCAAGACGGGCCACACGGGGAGGCCACTTCCAGTTGAGCTTCTGCTTCAAAGTGCGGTTTGTCCAAAGAAATTGTTAATTGCGGTAGAACGACGGGCACCTTGTAGGTTGGCCAAGTTGGCTTCCCATGAGGATGCAAGGGAGCAACTCCTTTTACAATCCCTAGGAGTAGGAGAAAACCTGGCAATGCCACCATGGTGAGCAAGGATCTGGAGAAAAAGAAGAAAAGTCTTACAGTTAATGAGGAAAGAATTAATCAACTGCTCTACTTCGGTCCTGAAGAAGCAAAACTTTGTGTGCGTATGTGGGGGGATCTGTACTGACTTTCTCCCACTTCAGTTACAGGTAGTCCTTGACTTATGACCACAATTGCACAATTTGCTTGTCAGAAAGGGATTGCATGACCCCAGGACACTGCAACGGTCATAAATATAAGTCAGTTACCAGTCATATGGATTTTGATCACGTGACCAGGAGGATGCTGCAAGGGTCGTAAGTGTGAAAAACGGTCATAAGTCACCTTTTCCAGTGCCGTTATAATTTCAAAGAGTCACTAAATAAATACAGGTCGTCCTTGAGTTGCAATCACAACTGAGCCCAAAATGTATGTTGCTAAGTGAAACATTTGCTAAATGAGTTTGCCCCAGGTTATGGCTTTTCTTGCCACAGTTAAGTAGATCATTGCATTTCCTAAGTTAGCAACATGGTTGTTAAGTGAATCTGGCTTCCCCATTGACTTTGCTTGTCGGAAGGTCGCAAAAGGGGATCACGTGACTGTGGGACACTGCAGTGGTCATAAATACGAGTCAGCTGACAAGCATTTGAATTTTGACCATGACTTGGTAACGCTGCAAGAGTCGTAAGTGTGAAAAACGGCCATAAGTAACTTTTTTCAGTGCTGTTGTAACTTCAAGCGGTCACTAAATGAATTGTTGTAAGTTGAGGACTACCTATATTACTAATCTGGAACTGTCATTTAATGAAGATAGAGACTTTAAATTCAGGACTTGAGAAAGAGGCAAGCAAACTCATAATCACTTAAATATGAGCCAGCGGGATAGTAAAAAAATGGATTTACACTGTCTGCTTAACAAGCATGGGCTTCACTTTATGACCACAGAATTCACTTAACAACTGCTGCTGCAAAAAAAAAAAGATCCTAAAATCAGGTATGTGAAGACCTGCTTAACAACCACCACAACTTACAACTGAAATTGTGGACTAAATTATGATTGTAAGTCGAGACTAGCTGTAACATAACAAGTACAGAAGCCTCCTATGTCAGCTGCTACTAAAAGAGTCAGAAACAATTCAAAACCATCCTCTGCAAATTTTTCCTACCTTGTGTAGCTTACCCTCTGCTCCAGCAGATCAAGGCACAGCACATTCCAACTTTGCCCCCACACAGACAAACACACACTCACATTAATACACCTCCCCAGCCACAAAATATGCTTTAATCAAAGAAAGTTCAAAACTGTAAACATTTTGGACAGAGCAGTGTGTTTCTGCAGATAAATGTAAATGTTTCGTAAAATTCACAGATTGTCTGAAAGTAGCGCTCGGTAGCATAATAATCCAAGAATATAGCTGTGAGTTGTTTTTCACAGAATTCTTGTTCCTGTTTTTCCACTACCTTCTCTATTGGTGTCATTATTATGATTACTATTACTTTAATATTATGATTATTACTACCTTGTGGTTTTGTATGTACATTGAGAGCTTCTGCACCAGAGACAAATTTCTTGTGTGTCTAATCACACTTAGCCAATAAAGTGTTCTATTCTATTCTATTCTATTCTATTCTATTCTATTCTATTCTATTCTACTCTACTGTACTCTACTCTATTCTATTCCATGCTATCTTCCCTTTCTATTCTATTCTATTCTATTCTATTCTATTCTATTCTATTCTATTCTATTCTATTCTATTCTATTCTATTCTATTCTATTCTATTCTATTCTATTCTATGTTTCTATTCTATTCTATTCTATTCCATGTTCCCATTCTATTCTATTCTATTCTATTCTATTCTATTCTATTCTCATTCCAATCCAGTCCATTCCTAAGAAAATCGATCAGTAAATTATTAATATTCAGAAGTCTGAGATGGATTGTACGATGCTTAAGGCAATGTTTAAATTTTTTGGAAGCTCTCCCCCTCCTCTTTAAATTGCTCACAACCCCCTTGAGGAGTCTCGACTCACAATTTGAGAACCTCTACACGCTTGGATTGCTTGTTTTCAAGAGTCTGCAAAAACATCGTGAAACTCAAACCAGCTACCCACATTTCTACTCATCATGGGGGGGGGGGGGAATCAAAGCCACATTGTCCAAAGCGTTGTGAATACACAAGAGGAAAGAAAAGTGCTTGGTAGCAAAGAACAAAAAAGCATGAAAAACAGCATGATTGAGGTGGGGGGGGGGGGGAGGAAATGAAAATTTAATTTGAAAATTAGCCAGGCAGCTAAAGCACCACAAACATCAGAATTCCCACTGCAAAGGGACAGGAAATCTCGCCCACTCCTGGTCAGGCTTACTCAAAGAAACCATAATTATTAGATGTACCTTATGCATATTTAAACCCATCTGGGGTTAAATCAATAATAGCTAAGAACAGCTTAGCTTCATTCTTGAAACGCCGCAAATGAACAAAATATAGAGCCAGACTTGAGAAAGGGTCCCTGGCACCGGGAAAAGAAGGAAAAAAAATGCAATAAACTAATTGGAGTAAAGCATATAATAGAACATGGAATGTAGAATAATTTGAAGGGATCCTGGAGGTCTTCTAGTCCAACCCTCTGCTTGAGCAGGAGACCCTAAACCTCCAGTGACGGAGCACCCACAACCTCTGGAGGCAAACTGTTATCACTGTCTCCTTAGTTTAGGGGTAGGCAACCTTGGCTCTTTTATGACTCGTGGACTTCAATTCCCAGAATTCCTGAGCCAGCCATGCTGAGGGGAAAGGGAGAGGTTTCCAAGCTGAGCCATGCTGGCTCAGGAATTCTGGGAGATGAAGTCCACAAGTCATGAAGGGGCCAAAGTTTCCCTCATGCTGGCTGAGGAATTCTGCGAGTTGAAGTCCACCAGTCATAAAAGAGCCAAGGTTGCCTACCCCTGCCCTAATCCTTCTCTTTGTTAGACATATCTATACATTAACTGAGGGATAGAATCAAGATCACATGAAGTATTAATACCACTCTTCAATGCCTTGGTAAGGCCACACTTAGAATACTGCATCCAGTTTTGATCACCACGACGTAAAAAGATGTTGAGACACTAGAAAGAGTACAGACAAGAGCAACAAAGATGATTAGGGGACTGGAGGCTAAAACATATAAGGAACGGTTGCTGGAATTGGGTATGTCTAGTTTAACGAAGAGAAGGACAAGGAGGGACTTGATAGCTGTGTTCCAATACCCCAGGGGCTGCCCCAAAGAAGAGGGAGTCAAGCTATTCTCCAAAGCGCCTGAAGGCAGGACAAGAAACAACGGGTGGAAACTAACCAAAGAGAGAAGCAACCTAGAACTAAGGAGAAACTTCCTGACAGTTAGAACAATTAACCAGTGGAACAGCCTGCCTTCAGAAGCGGTGAATGCTCCAACACTGGAAGTTTTTTAAGAAGAGACTGGACAGCCATTTGTCTGAAATGGTATAGGGTTACCTGCCTGAGTAGGGGGTTGGACTCGATGACCTCCAAGGTCCCTTCCAACTTTTTATTATTATTATTATCGATCATCGCACAGTCAGCCAGATGTTCAGACTGGATTTGGCATTTTGTCTACCTATCGAGTCCTTACCCAGGACCTGGGATAGGCAGATGTGGATGTTTGATGGTATTACAGGTATCGTCGCAGGATGGAAGCAGTTCCTAGTAAGGCCGCCTTTTGCAATTGACTAATAGCGAATTTGTCAATGCCAATGGTGTTCAAGTGGTGCTCCAGTTGTTTTGGGATTGCACCCAAGGAGCCTATGACTATTGGTACTACCCTTGCTTGCTTTTGCCACAGTCTTTCTATTTCTATTTGTAGGTCTTTGTATTTTGTTATCTTCTCCAGTTCTTTCTCTTCTATTCTGCTGTCTCCAGGCACTGCCACGTCCACTATCCAGACTTTTTTGTCTTTCTTATCGACAATTGTTAAGTCTGGGGTGTTATGTTGCAGGTGCTTGTCTGTTTGAATTCTGAAGTCCCAGAGCAGTTTAATTTTATCATTTTCTATGACTTTCTCTATTTTATGATCCCACCATTTTTTGCTTACAGGAAAATGATATTTTTTGCAGATCTTCCAATGCACCATTGTTGCTACTTTGTCATGCCACTGCTTGTAGTCAGTCTGTGCAATCTTCTTGCAACAGCTTACCAGGTGGTCCACTGTTGCACTGTTGTTGTTGTTGTTATTATTATACAATCCTGCAACTGATCTTATGTAATAAGATGGACTTTTCTCCACTCCGTTCTGCTTTACCCCAGTTTCTATCACAGGCTCCTCCTGTTTGATGGGTAGGGTTACTGGGTGCAACCTCTGGAAATGCCTAGAGATGGACAAACATCTGGCACCTGTTGTCCATTTTACAAAAACATTCATCTCTGGCGGCTTTCCAGAGGTCACCAGAAAAGATGGAGCCAACATTCCCAGCTTCTTAGAGGAAACTGGAGTTTGGAGATATCACTGAGGGTGACTCGATGTCAAATGTTTGACACAGCACCAAGAACGAGTGTAGTTTGCTTGCTTTTTAGTCTATCCTGGTCATCTCTGTTTAGTTTGAAATGTACATGACTGCTTTACAGACAGAAATTTTATTTTGATCCTGGACCAATAAAAGTACATTCAGTAAAATGAAAAGCAGAGAGCTATCCCCTAGCGACAAAGGACTATCCGCAACCCTTTGTGGGTGAAGCTTATACATAATGGAGCAAATTGCTCCTGCTTTTAAATACATTTGATTGTTGAACAGATAAATAAATAAAAGCTCTCAGAGTGCACCAGAATTTAAATAAAAAGGGAGTAATTAACTGGTGGCGAATGTCCCTTAGAATTGGCAACGCAGAAGAACAGAAGCTGTAGTTTCTATGGTATTCATATCATAGGGGCTGTAATAATAATAATTAACAATAAAGTTGGAAGGGACCTTGGAGATCATCTAGATGTAGATTGACAGACAGTCTACATCCACAATAATAATAATAGTAGTAAAGTTGGAAGGGAC